ATATGAACAAACCTAGAAGTGATAAGAAATATATGTGGGCGTTCGAAAGTTATTAACTCCGCCTGTAGCTCTTCCAGAGTTACTGCCGGTCCCAAGCCCGGGTAAAGGAGGAGGGTTGGGCATGGGGTTAGCGTCCCCATCCCGTAGAGACCTAACTCGCTAAAAAAACGCTAACCAGAAAAAATAACTCAAACCATTTAAACTCTGCCCTGGGAGTTAGAGGTAATATGACGCTTCATGGTGAAAGCCGAGTTCCTTCGGAAGCCTCGAGGCCGATGCCCCTTCTAACAACCAGAGCAACAATTTTTATAGGTACATGGAACGTCCGGACAATGTGGGAGACCGGGAAGACCAGTCAAATAGCAACGGAAATGAGGAGATACAACTCGGCAGTACTGGGAATCAGTGAAACCCATTGGACCCAAGCTGGACAACAAAGGCTAAATACGGGAGAGATGCTGCTATACTCCGGTCACGAAGAGGAAAATGCTCCACACACTCAGGGAGTTGCTCTAATGCTATCCAAAGTAGCACGAAATGCACTTGTAGGATGGGAATCTCACGGATCCAGAATCATCAAAGCATCATTCAAAACAAAGAAGGAGGGTATCACAATGAACATTATCCAATGTTATGCACCCACCAATGATAGCAACGACGACGTTAAAGATCAATTCTATGAGAGGCTGTAATAAATCATAGAGAAGTGCCCAAGAAAGGACCTCACCATTCTGATGGGAGATCTAAACGCCAAATTGGGAATAGACAACACCGGATATGAAGACATCATGGGACTACATGGACTGGGAGAGAGAAACGAAAATGGGGAAAGATTTGCAAATCTGTGTGCATTCAATAAATTGGTCATAGGCGGTACAACATTTCCACACAAACGTATACACAAAGCTACGTGGATCTCATCGGACCACACCACAGAGAACCAGATAGATCACATTTGGATCAATAAAAAGTTCCGAAGGACAATGGAAGATGTGAAAATCAGGAGAGGAGCGGACATAGCTTCAGATCATCACCTAGTTGTGGCCAAATTGAAACTGAAGCTAAAGAAGAACTGGACAACTGGACAAACAGCACCACAAAGGTTCAATACAGCCTTCCTTCGAGATACTGACAAACTCAATGAATTCAAGGTAGCTCTCAACAACAGGTTCCAAGCCTTACAGGATCTACTGAAGGAAGAAGAAACTACTATGAAGGATAGCTGGAAAGGTATCAAAGAAACATTAACTTCAACGTGTCAAGAGGTTCTGGGCCCCAAGAAGCATCATCACAAGGAATGGATCTCTACAGAAACACTGGACAGGATCAAAGAAAGAAAGAACAAGAAGACAGCAATTAACAACAGTCGAACAAGAGCAGAGAAAGTCCAAGCACAAGCAGAGTACATAGAAGCAAACAAGAAAGTGAAGAAGAGCATTAGAGCTGATAAGCAAAAATACGTGGAAGAACTAGCAACGACGGCGGAAAAAGCTGCAAGAGAAGGAAATATGAGACAGCTTTACGATACGACGAAGAAGCTTGAAGGGAAATACAGTAAACCAGAGAGACCAGTCAAAGACAAAGAAGGAAGACCAATCACTGAGATTCAACAACAGCGCAACAGATGGGCAGAGTAGTTCGAGGAACTCCTGAACAGGCCGGCTCCAATGAATCCACCGGACATCGAAGCAGCACACACAGATCTTCCTATAAATGTCAATCCACCAACGACAGAAGAAATCAGAATGGCCGTCAGACAAATCAAGAGCGAGAAAGCAGCAGGACCTGACAATATACCAGCTGAAGCGTTGAAGTCAGACATCGAAGTAACTACAAGCATGCTTCATCTTCTATTCAAGAAGATTTGGGAGGAGGAACAAGTGCCGATGGATTGGAAAGAAGGACACCTCATCAAGATTCCAAAGAAAGGAGATCTGAGCAAGTGTGAAAACTACAGAGGCATTACACTACTGTCAATACCGGGTAAAGTCTTCAACAGAGTGTTAATGAACAGGATGAAAGACGCAGTTGACGCTCAACTTCGAGATCAACAAGCTGGATTCCGTAAGGACCGGTCGTGCACAGACCAGATTGCGACACTACGGATCATCGTCGAACAATCAATTGAGTGGAACTCGTCACTCTACATCAACTTCATTGATTATGAGAAGGCATTTGACAGTGTAGATAGGAGGACGTTATGGAAACTTCTTCGACACTACGGAGTTCCTGAGAAGATTGTCAACATTATCCGGAACTCATACGATGGACTACAGTGCAAAGTAGTGCATGGAGCACAGCTGACAGACGCATTCCAAGTAAGGACCGGAGTAAGACAAGGCTGTCTACTCTCTCCCTTCCTCTTCCTTCTGGTGGTCGACTGGATTATGAAGACCTCGACATCTGAGGGAAACTACGGCATACGATGGACAGCTCAGAACCAATTAGACGACTTGGACTTCGCAGATGACCTAGCCCTCCTATCACATACACACGAACAAATGCAGATCAAGACAGCCAGCATAGCAGCAGTCTCTGCATCAGTAGGCCTCAACATACACAAAGGGAAAACCAAGGTCCTCAAACACAACACGGAGAACAGCAATCCAATCACTCTTGATGGCGAAACTCTGGAAGACGTGGAATCCTTCACACACGTGGGAAGCATCGTCGATAAACAAGGAGGTTCAGATGCAGACGTCAAGGCGAGGATTGGCAAAGCTAGAGCGGCATTCCTTCAACTGAAGAACATATGGTACTCAAAACAACTTCCAACCAACATCAAAGTCAGAATCTTCAATACGAACATCAAGACAGTTCTACTGTACGGAGCTGAAACTTGGAGAACTACAACAACCACCATCAAGAAGGTACAGGTATTTATCAATAGCTGTCTACGCAAGATATTCAACATCCATTGGCCGGATACCATCAGCAACAGCCTTTTGTGGGAGAGAACCAACCAGCTTCCAGCTGAAGAGGAAATTAGGAAAAGACGATGGAAATGGATAGGACATACATTGAGGAAATCATCAAACTGCATTACGAGACAAGCGCTAACTTGGAATCCTGAAGGGAAGAGGAAGGCCAAAGAACACATTACGTCGGGAAATAGAAGCGGATATGAAAGGGATGAATAAGAACTGGAAAGAGCTTGAAAGGATTGCCCAGGACATGGTTGGATGGAGAATGCTGGTGAGCGGCCTATGCTCTTTCGCGAGGAGTAACAGGCGTAAGTAAGTTCGAAAGTCATTGGTGGTAGGAACTGACCTAATATGAAATTGGTTTTAATTGAAAGCTGATGTGATTGATGGATTAGTGAAAAACGAAACGCTGAACATCTCTACCATTACAGTTTCCAACTAATTAACGCTGAAGTGTTCACTCTTTTAGTTTGAACGAACAAAGAGTAATCCGCATGAAGTTAATGAGTCACTGAATATTGATATTTTTGTTACCTAGTAAATACGTAGTGTAATGCGACTACTCTCCATTGATACTGCCAATTACGCGTAGATTACAACCTGGACATAACTGTAGAGAATTCGATTTCGAAAACGATCAGTAATAATGATTCCTAGGACTTCAGTCAGTGACTTTTCAAACAACCTCATTAGTAGATGAAATACTGGTGATCATTATAATCTTTCCATTTATCAACGTCTACTAAATGATATTGCTGTATTTCAATACAAAACGAGGAGAAACTACGAAATAGAGTGAACAACTATCCCACCTCACTTGTTCTGAATCTATAAAGTCAGAGACAATTGCCTTAATTCCCACATAACACGGAAGTTCCCTTACGCAGCTTGTTTGTGGTTCTGATCAGTCTTAAAATGAGACTTACGATGATGTCCAAACCAGTAAATGAAGGCTGAGACATCGCTCTATTGATTTGAAAGGAAACGGATACCAGATTAAGAAACTCTGAGACTTACTGACCCCGACCAAATGCGTAATTCCTCAATAGAAAACACCCTCAAAATATTTCTTGGGGAAACATAGTAAATCAGTTGTGTCAAATTATAACCTAAAAAGAAATTTGAGACCAATTTTCATAGTTAACACGTAGTACAATCCCAAACAAAACCCTACGACCCGAAAGACTGAGGACACCCTCACGACACAATTACCCATTGAGGACGAAGATCCGTAAAACACGAGTCGTGCATCTCCTATAACATTCACCCTGCAAGACAGTTGGTAAAATAAAACGTCGTCCGCCGGAGATGACTTAGACTACAATAGCACGACCACCAGAAAGACCCGTGTGATGTGAATCGCCCTCAAGTAGGCCCGCGTGCACCCGTCCTTACGGCGATTGGATTCTATCACCTAGACGCTGTCCTCCTTAATCCGGATGTTGGCAAATATACGGAAGGCGTAGTCGTTTCACTAAGCTTGATGTCGTTTAGCCACTCACCACCTTGGGTAGGGGAATACCGCCTCACAGCGTTGAGGATATTTATGGACCTAGGGACTCACTAACCCTCTACCCAAATATTTTAATACAAGCTGTGCACTACTTGTTCACTCAGACGGTAAAAGAGACGCTTCTCGACGTCAGTATAAAGGTATAGTGAAAGATGTGTCAACACCTAGCGCTTGTTATCCATTATTAGATCGATAAACTCGGACGAAGCCCGATGGTCCGTGGGAAGCTAGTAGAACACTATTACTTGGAATACGATAGATGGGACCAATTTAAGAGATACACAAAGCTGGTGAGTACATTCACAGTATTGACAAATGTGAACTAAATAGCGGGAAAAACTGGTTGACTAACTGGTCACCATATACAATACGTTGTTCAGCTAACTATTTCATCTGAAAAACGATTGTACGACCTAAGGTAATAAATACAGGAAACAAATCATGAGTGGATTTGATAGTAGCAATGGAAGTACGATTTTGAGGCATATCTAAAATATACCTGTGGTAAGGTGGAAGCAACAGAATATAACACGATTTCGACTGGAATGAAAACAACAAGTTTTGTAGCAAAGGCGTTGATTTAATAATCCAATTATAACAAAATACAGTGCCCTTATTCAGGTAGTGGCGATAGTTTAGCGATTTAAAATTTTATTAAATATATGAAACCATTTCATGAAAACAAGCAAGCTAATAATAATGCATAAGAACTTTCAAAATGTTGAAGTATCAAAGATTTTTACAGACGAAACACACTCCATCGAATTTCAGAAAGAAAATTATAGCACTTTAGTCACAATCTAGTAAACATTCACTTTTAAAACATGGAAAATGGTGATCTCAGCAAACACAAACACCAGTGCCATAAGTTGGTGGTAGCAGCACTAAACCTTAAATCGAATTAGATAAAGCCCTACAAACAAAAATGAATAGTCCAAAAATGGAAACAAGCGAAGGTTAATACATGGGCATTATTTATTGGTGTATCAAATACATCAGAAGAACGATGTATTGCATCGTACGCAAAGTTAATTAGTAACTATATTTCTTGTAATAATCGCAAATACAGCTCATTGCATGATTTCCTGGATTGCAATTATTTAGAATATCGTCGACAGTCTGTCCAACCAAGCAAACTGAAAATAAAATGTTTAGAACAATAAATGCATTAGTAATCACTGTATGAATGCATTTGAGAAGTATGCAGCAAGAAGTCAGAATAGGACAGTATTCCTGATGAGCATTACTTGAGTTGTTTAGCAAAAGACTAAACAAAAAATTTACAGTAATATCCCTCACAAAATGGGTGCAGGACGCGGCCAATTTACAAACCTGTAACCTTCATTTTGATTGAGAACGAACGCAGATCGAATGAACACTGAGAGATGGCTGAATAGACAATACTCACGGAATCCATCCTGTTGATTTTATCCACTTTGACTTTTTGAGTCCTCAAATCGCAACTGAATGAACATCAAAAGACAGAACCGCTGGCCGACTGAATTATTTGAGTAAATAAAACAGTCACTTATATGCAAATATTGTAAAATAAAACAAAAATGAATAAAATATTTGTTTGCACAATTAATGGTAGGATGTAAATTACTGGATAGTGATCGAGTGGCGAGCAAAGTTAATTGTAAATAGGGTCTACCGTACCTATAGCAAAACTAATTTCTATTAAATGCTACGACTAAATAACCTACATTTCGTATTGTTATCATAAAAGTATGGAGTTCATAATCTTCGTGCTAGGCAACGCAAATGACTTCATACTATACCTCAACTAATTGTCGATAGACGGAACTATTGATGCAAAGTGGTCCGCATGACACCAGTCTTCTCCACTTAACCCATACCAAACAAGACCTGCCAGATTTGCAAGTACTTTGAAATGATAAGACACAAAGAGGTGCTTTGGATAGAGATACTTATATTAACTGTTTCGTATCACTGGTTAAATTGAAGTTCAAACTGTCATATGTTGTACACCAATAGGACCCCCAGAATGAAATGAAACACATACTTGCTCATAATCAGAAAAACTAATTAAAGCACGCTACTACTTGCACAAGGTCGTCCATTCACTATGTAGTTTGAGATTACGGCACACATTTAGGTTGGGAAACATTGAAATTATCACAAATAATTACAATAAAAAACCACGGTCCAACAACAAAGGATGAGCAATCCGCTTACTAATGACTTAGTAAAAATTATACTTGTTTTCAATTAAATTGCGAGCGTTCTGACGCGAGTTTTCCTTGGAAATGCTTAGTAACAGCATAATAAATGTACTTGAACAAAGTTAATTTATACCTCAAAATATGATCAGACATAAACCAAGACGTATTGTGTCTATATTTACTCACTGAGTGATTAAAGCAATTAACCTTTAGTCGCTGTTGTGCATATCGAAACCAAGTTTCAACTATGGTATCAAAATCGAGCATTATGATGCGTCTTTACAGTGATTTCAAGTACAGTATATTAACCTATACTTGGAAAATGTTACACTGTTTCATCGACATATAGGTGAATTTTGATATTAACCAAGATTTATCATAAAATGGCGTTTACTAAGATAACTAATCATCAGTTGCAGATATGAACTATTGACCTAATAGTCAAGATAAATAAAAAATGAAAAGTTTAAGTAACATAAATGTACACAGAATGAGACTGACGTTTTGGTGTGATATGAAATAAAATTGACTTCTTGAGACATCTGCTGATAAAACTAGTCGGATCGCGTCTTATGATGATGTACTTTTCATTCATGAACGTAAACGAGGTGTCCTTCTCATCAGTAAGTAATGATTTCAGCTGAAGCACAAACTCGGGAGATAGCTGAAGAACGAAAAAAACCGATTAAAGGAAATTAGTAAATAATAGTTCATACTAATACAAATGGAAAAACAGGCACAAATCAATGTATAAAACATCTGAAAATGCATGTTATTCGACTTGGTTCATGTACCACGAACGTTCCAAGGTATCAATCCTTGATTGCGATATGCGAGAACTTGGCGCTCACTGATATGAGGATGTAAATATGAAATATCAGACTGTGTCAAGCACACATGGTCTCTGATATTTGGTGTGAAATACGCCTATTGGACGTAATATACATTTAGCCAGAATTGTTAAAAACATTCTTGACTCAAATCACCGAATAGTGTAAATTGATAAATTGGAGGAATTCTTGTACACTATAGCTTAGCTCGCTTCAATTTTACCACACCGAATCACAAGTACGATAGATCTATTGATTATTTGCTGAATAAAGGCATTTTCGGACCAGCAAACAGCTTCAAATAGCACGTAGTGACGCATGGCGCGATGAAGCGACATTACAGAAACTACAGAAGACGGGATAAACTGAACATAATCACACAAAATAAGCACGAAAGTTCTTACCAAAGTATGGTGCTTAATCGAGATACATTTTTCTTGGAGCGATTTGATCAGCAGAGGGTTTGCCAAAAGCCTGGACAAACAGACTACACAGAACACATCATTTGTTAGGGTTTGTATTGGCACCAACACTCAAATTAGTCATGACTAATTATTGCCTTCTAGACGAATTCACCATTGTAAACCTTCCTGATATTTGTATGAGCAAAAATCACAAATATAGGTATTACGGTTTGCTTAGATCGGAGCTTATTCTCGAGATATCTAATGAACGCGCTCTTGGGGCTTGTAGACATGAACACATTATCTGGCCCTACACTAAATCAGGGCGTGTCGACGTTGACAGAACAGTTCGAGCACTGTGATCAAAACACTGAATCCCTAGTGAAATACCTAGGTGCAGATGTATGTTAATCTGACCGATTATTGAGAATTTCCTAACCTTTGGATGAAAGATGAACTTGCTCCGTTTTCAGCTTGAGTTCCGACAGAATGAGGATTTACATTGATCGGATTCAGAGTACAAATTAAAAAGGTCCAAGATGAACAGATAGGTGGGTGCATAATAATAACTGTGAAAGAGAACTGGTGCATGGCATGAATGAGGTCATACTAATATCGCAAGATTTATTCGTGAATTAGATGGGTCGCTACTGCTATGGTCGATCGATATGCGCTTATGAAACATTTTTATTAACTCAATCTTTCAGTGGCATAAGCAGTGTAGACATTCTAGTGAAAAATAAAACAGGGTGGACTTACCTGGAAATCAGGACTAGATGAGCCGTAAGGAGTTCCCTGATGATCTGATATATGTAAATATTTCAAGCTTTTGTGTTCATCTACATGGTTTTCACAACGTTTTTTCCACTCTTCAGACATTGTTCAATCAAAATAGTAAGACAACCGACCGAACACCTTGCTACAAAGCAAATAGACCAAGTCACTTGAAGTGGAAGCTTTGTCAATAGCCTTGAGATCTGAGAATACTATATGTAGAAGCGTATCCGCCCACACATTAATTTCGTCGAATCAAAATCTTATTTGTATTAGCTGTGGTCCTTGCGGCAAACTGATTGGTTTATACGATAACTGCACAGACAGGCCTGAAATTTAACCAATTATCATTATGCCCAGTCTGCACATTAATTTTATTCGAGAGATTGTTTGGTCAATAAACTAACTGCCCAAAAAAGTCTGTAGACCTTAAGGCTGCATGCTGTAGTAGTTGTTGTTCTCTAAAATTCGATTTACTGATTTACGTGAGAACTCGTTTTGGAACACAGGGATATCGGGTGTAGCACCACGTAAAATACCGATGGGATCTAGAGACGAGTACTCAATGTAACACACTTTGTGTTGCCTGCCCACGCATTTCATTGTAGTTAGTGTTGAAGAATTTGTATTTTCAATCGTTAATAAGTTCTGATGAGAATATTCTAAAAATGTCTTTGGTAAGTTTACTGCTTGTCGAGCGGTTTTATCAGTCGATATGCTTTCTCTTGTATCCATTTCAGGTGCTATAAGCTTGAATCAAACATTTATGCTAAAGGTAAAGTATAATTAGATTGTTCTTGATACTTAGTTACTTTAGGTTCTCGGATAGGTCACATGAGTGTTGAGTGACCACTCATTTAAATATGCCTATCAGAAAATATGTCGAAAATTAGATGAAATTTCTGACGAGTTCCAGTGGCAAAGTTAACCTTTCTTAAGGTGCTTTTGTGAGCCTCTCTTACCCCAGGTGTTCGATTCACTAGTCAATTTATAAACGTACAGTTGAACTCTGTAGATTATACTTAGACTTCATTACTTTAATTCGAGCTCTAGATTCTAGTCTTACCCTAGGAAATAGGTTATTTTTCTCAAAGTCATTTGGGTCTCGCTCAACGGTCGTCCATAAATTATAGTCTTCTAGTACCTAATCCTGACCTTTCTATATTATATGTAATATCAGTTAGTGATGAAAACTCAATTGGGAGATCATCTTAACTCACACTACCTTGACACTTGATATCTGTGTATATGTGTAAACTAAAACTTTTCTTTTGTACAAGGGATAATTTGACGTGTGCTAGTCAATTATTCAGATCAAAGAAGTTAATCCAATGTTATTTCATTGCTCCGTGATTTTAATTGCTATATAATTAGACAGCGGCTACAGACTCGCAGATAAATCGCCTAAGATCAGCGTAGTATGCTCTTATCGAAACTATATATTTTGGATACTGTGAGAGATAGTCATTTGTTAATAACCCTGTTATTTTTAGGGCCAGCGCTTCCGGGAGAGGTAACAAAAAAAATCTGTAATATTCTACATCATGAAGGAAATTTATGGTCTTGAAGTAAACCAGACTTGTATCATAGTTTTTTAACCATGGCATGAAATATCTAGAGAACCCGTAGATTGCTCAGATATGGCCTCGTTTGAAATATTATGCTAGGATAATCCGCGCTGTGTTTACTGTCAGTTATTTACTTATATGAGTCAACTTTTAGCCATGCATCGTTAAGCCTGACGAAATAATTACCAACAAGAATAACGAATACATCTCAGAGAATTATCATCAGGTTATCGTGCAGATAAAATGCAGCATTTTAAACTCCAATTAAATGGTAGCGTATATTAATTAGTGAAGATTTTGGTGCCGCATGTGGTAGGTACCTAGTTGTGTGTTAACATTGACATTAATACTGGGTCAATATCTTGCTATTCTATTTAGTCACCAATGTGCTTTCCTAACACCTGATCAACCATCTATAAACAGGAAGAAAATGAAGATAGCCCTGTTAAACTGACAAAAACTGGACGATAGTTTTAGTTAGAAAAATTCACTCACCCACAACCGTCCTCTCATATTTGCATCTATCCTACTTTTTGGCCTCATGAACCTGAGCGGAATAGGAGATCTAACGTACTCGGGACGTAATGTGTTCTTTGGTTTTCCACTTTTCCGCTTCCCTTCAGGATTTCAAGTTAGAGCATAACTTGTGATGCAGTTTGGTGATTTCCATAATGTATGTCCTATTAATTTCCAACGTCTTTTCCTAATTTCCTCCTCAGCTGGATTGTTCTGTCCCGCAGAAGGCCGTTACTGATAGTATCCGACAATGGATTTTGAATATCTTGAGTAGCATTATTGCTACTTTATTGGTTATATCTTACTCTTTATTTTTTATGTGCAATAGAAATGTTGGATGGTGTATATGAATGTCATTGTATTATATATCAATTAACGCCTGCATTGATTCATGTGACGGCGTAATAGTTACTGTAAGTCGGTTATGGAAGAGAGTAGATCGTCAACAAAGGACTTAAATTTAGTATTCACATCCAGAGTGCTTTACGTCTTCCTCAATTAACACCCGTTTGAAGTGACAATATTCAATGTCAAAAAGGGTAATAAGTCAGTAAATAAATGATTGAGTGCTGGCATTGTATCGGGTTAACAGAATATTATCATGAATAATAATTTCATTATACTGTAAAAATGTTTAAACTCTTGAGCGTAACTGAGTCGCTGTAAGGTCGTAGGAAGATATTTCTGCGTTACTTGTGAGATGGTCTGTCATATAAGCGAAGAAGTTTAAGTAGATTACAATTTCGTTTCCTTTAAAATACGACAAACAGAAGTAGAATTCCACTGGTTAGTTTGTGACCCTCACTACGTCTACTAATTTGCTGTATAACACGTGATGGAACTACAAGTGGTTGTTTTATGGCTGTTGATCAATATCACGTAATAAAAACACCAATCGGAATCCCGACGTCTATGATTTCGTACATCTGATTTCACCATTTACAAGCCCAACTAGCACTAATAACCTAGACTGAATTGCTAAGTTCCTATTAGTCTACGATCTTGAAATTCTCTCTCTGCCTTGCCCACGAGTCGAGAAGTCAGTAGTCAACATCCACTAAATCATGTCTCAAGCAGACGTAGTTTATATACAGGCAAACAAGACCATATCACACCATAAAAATAAGAGCTATACAAGAATAAGCTAATGAGTGACAGTGAGTAAGGGAGACAGTAAATAACAATGTACAGTTAGAATTGCAAATACTTTTGTTTTGTTGTAGAATGTGGCATAATCAAGGATTAAGCTTGTTCACTAACATCTAATAAATTAAACATTGGAACCCGTGCAACTAAATTAGATTATCAGAATACAAATGGTGTTCAATATTCTATTTACTTACAAAATACATAAGGTATACCAGGTGGCGTTGAGAGAATGTTACTACTCAACAATAAGTCCTCTCAATAATCGCGATCAAACTGTTTCCTCAGGAAACCCGGGATCTGTCAATTGATTCAGCAATCAGAAGAGTTAATTGGACCAGCCTTTTAATGGATTTAATCAATTATATTAATATAGGAGTTGTAGAGACAACGAATATGAAAGAATATTTTAAGATAACAGTCACTTCTCAGTTTGTTTACTCCCATGTCATAACAAGGCACGACAAATTCTATTGGTTGAAATCCGTATTTTGCATTAATTAAGATTGCGCTAAAGTACTAAAGGGATTCTGTAGTTATTACAAAAGTAAAAGTACTAAGCTTGTTTGTTGTTTTAAAGTCTCAGACATCTGAGTCACTGGCATTCTATATCAAATATCATTTGATTTGTGTGAGGACTGTGGTACTGCTCGAGTGCCCAAACCGAAGCAGGTGGTTCCCTTGGGGGGCCACACCCCGAGCCTTCGACCTAAAAGCCTGATCTACAAGGCAGTGGAGCATCGTAAGGAGATGCAGTCCCATGGCGGCCGGTGACTAACGATTGGTTCATACGCCGTTTGTTGCCTCAGACAGGATACTGGAGCCCATGTGCACTAATGGTCTTGGAATCAGGGATATCCAACTCCCTAGGTGGACTCTCCATGTCCACCAACTCGGTTAAAGCGCTGGATATTCGCTTTCCGTCCTTTCAATTTCGTAAACAACAACGAGAAGGCATTGAGTAGGAATTCCCTGGGATAGGTTATGTACGCATGGCCATGTGGGAGTATTTCGAGAGAGGGTGGGCGGATTCCACACTCTCGGCCGTACCAGGGTATTTGGGGAAAAAATTATGAAGTGAAATACGCGATGGTGAAAAATTTATGTTTTGTAGAAGATATATTTTTATTTACAAATGAAATAATTTGTGCACAATATGTTTGGAAATTTTCTGGCGAAAAACTTGTTTCACCGTAAATTCTGAAGGTAATGGACACTGCTACCAGAAAAGAAATTAGGAGTGAAAATTTCTTGATATAAAAGATTGATTGGTCGGTAAACCAGATAAAGTTTGTGCAAACTTACTAGAATCTTATCTCATTTGTTTTACACTATCTAGTGGGCCTGCGTCATCGGATCCTTACATTGATCAATTTTCTAATCTATTCTATATTATAGTAATTAGGTTTCTAACTATGCAAATTAGGTAGTAAGTAGATCCAGTCACTGATATTGATTAATCGTAGAAATAATTAGAAAGTTACTGCATTATTTCCGTCTGCCTCGGCTAGATTCAAGGATAATGTTTCGTTCGATGTGCGCTAGCTGAACACTGGTGCGTTAAGATGATTTTATGGTCTAATAGTCACCATAGGGCATTAAAATGAAAAGATGTCGTTATGAGACTAATTCGTAGTACATAACCATGACCCTTCCCACAACTGAACTTTTAGGGCTTATGCGTCTAAATGAGTAGTTTAAGATTTGAAGCACTGTTGTGGGTGAAACTACATATTGACATGAATTTTTCAGCCATTTCATAATAATGATCTTAACATTATTGAGTGGCATGTTGTTACTTTAAGTCCGGCTATTTATCAAATGATTTACTCGTTAATCGAAATACCACTAACTCAATCTTAGTACTGTAGCAAAACCAAAGACATTCGACCGGTCAACTAAGCTGCATTATTGATCATTTGTTCGCTAGCCCATCCACTTGAGTCCAGAACACCAATAACAGCTTCAGCTATGAGAATCATTTATTTCAAATATACTTGGTTTATATACCAACCAAACGGACCACATCACACCATGAAATAGGAAACAACGGGTATACAATATCAAGCGTGGAAGACTGTAGTCAATAAACTGAGTATAACTTAAGAATCGTATAATAACAATATACAGGTCGAAATGAAGCTTATCATAAGAGGAATATAGATATACGTAATCTAGTTATTGGACAGTTATACAATAAGAATATATATATATATATATATATATAATATTAATCCATTAATAGGTCTCAGAAGTCACTCGTAATTAAATCTTCTCTAGTACATAACAGTAAGTTATAAAACGGTAGTTATTAATTGAAATTTTCACATCGTGTATGTTTACATGTTGCTTTAGGATTGCCGATTGAAATTCTAAAAAGACAATTCTCGAAAACTTTCAGCTGAAAGGTAGGTAAACAAAAACGTAGCTACCACGTGATCTGTGCTGATGCATAGATAACAAATGGATGGATATATAAGAAAAACATAATAATAATGTAGTATTCATTAAAAGTGCACCAAAACTTTTAAAATAAGGGAACAATGTACATCCCTTTTAATTTTGAAGATCATCCGTATCAGCTGATGAATACAAATTAATTGAAATGTGGTTCATAAAAACAGCTGACTTGAATTTCCAAAAAAAATAAGGTGGGATGCTATCTGAAGGTAAACAGTCGCGAAAATACTAATTTAACAGTATTACCTTTAAAAATCTGAACCGAAAATTGTGACATTCCATCTTACATAAAATACTAATCACCAAATTCTGATCTTCGTTTGAATAAATAATAAGAAAGATGGCCGGTAATCGGATATTGAAACTTCAGAATTGAAATTTATAATCAGCAAACTAAGTATTAACAACTATTCCATATACATGGACAAAATTATTCAAACGGAAAACATTCATGGAAAGCATAATAATAATGCTTATTAAGCAAACACTTCTTTAGAAAGATACATTACTAGATTAAAGGTCTCGAGTGGGCTATTTGGGGAATAAATCCTACAACCGATTGTCAAAAGCTTGATGATGAAGCATCCAAACTAAGCACTTCATATTGTAGATTCCGATCTTGAAAGCAGAAAACCTAGCATTACATTTGGAGACACGTTTCAATAATAGACGTTCATCATCCAATATTTGGTTCACCTATATCTGCAGAGAATGTCTAATGAACCAATGCTTAACCCTCTATTAAGGCATCGACCGAGTGTCTACGTTGTATTTCTTAAACAATTAATTTTAGGCAATGTTATTCAGGTTAAAATGGGGGTGAACTATTTCCTGTGCTAGGTGACTTCACTTTCCTAATACTGTGGAACGACTAAATGTGTTGAAGACTGGCTAATTGGAAAAAACGGACCACTGGAAAAGTTACTGAATACACGTAATAATTCTTGATCATTTCCTGTGATTCGGTCAGATGTGATCAAATAACTTTATAAGGTTAATGAAGCACAGCACAAGATGGACACCGAATTCATAGAAAAAGTTACTTTGACGGTAGTAAAATAATTATCAGAGTATAGATGGACACAACGAGGAGACATCGTTTTGCACATCCGATGCGAGACGTTAGTCTCAGCCGTGAATGTCCGTTGTTCGGTCTGTTTCAATGTGTGAACGTTGTGGATAGAAATTTTTAAAGACATACACTATTGCAGGATAGGTACATGAACTCTTTCGTCCAAGGACAACCTTCTATAGGCGATTATTTGGCAATGTGAGATCACTTAATTTACATTACTCAGGTGGCATGTTTCTGTTTGAGTAAGACGTCAGCGAAATGAAATCTTCTGAATGTCCTGAGGACTACATTAGTGTTAGTTGGGTCTCCAACAATTCGAAATGCTTTAGAGCTACAATTGACCAGCTTTTAGTCTGAACATATGAAGGCAAGTAGTTCAGCACACTGACGATACTCACCTTGGCAGCTCCATTAGCATTGTGCGATAGATAGCCCACAGAATCTTGACACGAATAAAAGCCTTGTTTGAATTTTGTAAACTTTCATGACGTATGGTGAACAAAGGATGTCTGTCTGTCTATCTATAAACGAGCAAAGAAAATCCAACGTACTTTGCCCTGTTTTCGTTTATGGCTGTGCAACACTTTACTGGAGGTGGGAAACACAGGTAGGTTGCTCAGTGTTATTCCATACGTTCATAGAACTTTATACGCTTTCCGTATCAGTTACTCATCAAGTTTGTAGTTAAGTGTTTTTTGAATTCCCAACCGAATTCAAAGGACTACGTATAGTCAATAGTCCATCAATCTATTACACATGATTGGTCGATATATCCACTAATAACTTCACCTGTGTGACACACAATGCAGTTAGGAAATAGAGAAACACAGAAACATACACAAATACTCATTATTAGTTTCCTACTTTTATGAAAATAATAATAGTGTGCAGAAAAAAAACTTTACAATTACCGTTATGGTTGATGTCAGTGATGCATTACAAATAGTAAAACTAGAAAATTACACAGTAGTACATCCACAGTTAGTCTTAACAAATGGATTAAAAGATTCATTTGATGATAGCCCCGTGTTTTAAAATAGGTAGAGGGAAAATATTCGACTGAAAGAATTGTAATACAAAATGTGTCATTAATATTTTAGTAGTAGTCTCCGAACCAATCACACTGTCGAAAAAGACAATCGAAATGCAAGAGGAACGATGGGAGTGTAGTTATATACAAGAAGATGGGGTGGTTATATCCATTTGAAGAACTGAATTTCGTAAATTAATAAAAGGAATAATGTTACAGTAATGTGTATTGGAATCAGTTTTTGACCTTCTCCCTCAGTGTACGCTCTCGTAGGTTAACCAAAAGGTCATGGATTTGGGCACGCTTCTGACTGACAGTAGCTTCTGGGAACCAACCAGCCATTTCGTGTTGGAAATAATCTTTCGTATAACTTTGAACAGGTTTCTAAAAATATATTAACCAGTGGTAAAAAGCGAATAAGTGATTGAATGGACTTTTCGGTCAGTTATTGATAGATTATTTCACGAAAACACTGTCGACAAAAGTAAACTGCAGGGTCGCGTATGAAACAATTTTAAGCGCAATCCAACAAGTATATTAGGGGTTACGAGTCATCAGTTACTAAGGTAATACATACAAAGAAATGGATAAATGATCAATAATATGGAGAGAATTTTTTGACATGATTTTAGAAATCTATATAAGCGAATATTATACAGAAGATGCGAGTTTACACCCTCGTATACATAGTAACTACAGTACAAAGATTGGTTTCGGTAGGTTTACATCAGAATTAGCACACTAGACACATAATAAATATATAATTCTAACCACGGGTACGATTCATTCATATTAGGCCCAGCCCATAAAGCGAAGAGCCCTACACACTTTGATAGCCTGAAATAAATGACCGATATTTTGATTTACAAGTTACGGGTTAACAATAACAAACCAAGTTTACACCTATGATTAACTACGATGTGTCTAAATAAATAAATTCACCTTGAAAAACATTTCCACGTAATGAAGTAGGTAGATTCCACAATCAACCAGGTTACTCTGAACAGGCACTCGAGGACTAAAACCTCGAATTGTATCCTTATCGAAGCGGAGAACACCGTCTTGGGCTGATCTGCGTGTATTCCATTCAGCTTGTAAATAACTGAAATAAACACAAAATAAAATATTTGCATTTATTAGTAGTTTACAATATGGTGGGGTTAAAAAAATCAAAGTTACATTCTTTTACTCATTGTGATTTTTGTTCAAGATACGATATTTTTATATTAAGTTAACATGAACTATGCTCAACATGATATGCAGCATATGATCTGTTATAACTCGACGTATTTTTCATGTATGTGACTTCATCCTAATTAATAATCAAAATGGGTGTACAGTCAATATATAAACGAATTTATTGTTGACTAGGTTCGTTGTTATGTTTTGGGGTACCGGTCTTGGTGTTCCTCACGTCATGGGAATTGCAGTGGTTCATCGTTTTACAAGTATAAGTGATGAGCGATTCTGACATAACAATTAACGATGACCAGATAGAACGACTGAAGACGGGAATTTCGTAAAAAAGGAAACCACAACAATCATTGACTGGGTCAATTTACAAGCTTCAGTTTCCAACATAACTGTCTGTTTCCAGTTATAACCCAGTTTTCAGTTTAACTTACCCCAAATCCTGTTCCCTCAGTTAGAAATATAATTCTGCTCTTATTTATCAAGTCTGTTACAATAAACGACGCGGTTACTAGTGTGAGAACATGTCAGTTTCAGCGGCAGAAGTAAGACGGATGCTTCAGTTTATTGAAGATTTATTTGTTCATCAGATCCCACTTAATGCTCGTCGGTGCATTGAAGGAACATATACTTAAACAATGAAATTCGGAATCGCACTCAAAAATTCTAAATACACTTAACGAGTTAAACAATTCAGTAAGGAAGAGTTTTGTGATTGAGGAAGAGGTCAACGAATTCTTTGATAATGTTGACTCTAAGCAGTGGTTCAGATGTTCTTTTATCACATTCCCCTCGTTCTAATTATCCAGTCACGTTGAGTGGGACAAATGATTCAAATGAATCAATTTCTAGTCAAATTCCTAATGATGTCATATTAGATGCTGGCTATCTTGATGATTCATTAGTTACTAATGAAGTCCTTAATGAGTTTGAGAAAAATGTTTTGAATGAACCAAATTCCCGCGATATTACAACAAATGTTGCTTGTTCTCACGATGCATTTGTTTCTAGTGAAAAGTTAGTCAATATGATGCACAAATTCTCACTGGATTCAAATCTACTTATAGTCCTAATGGACCCATATCAAATGTTATTTATCCTCACAAATGTTTTAAGCGAGTTACACCCTGATTACATTTCATATGTCATTGTAGCAGATTTTGGGTGGTCTCACACCTAATATGTGTGTTACATATAATCCCTCTTCAATGCTATGATAAATCATCGACATAACAAGTGTTTGCGAAACAGTCGCCAAACCAGATTGCAGAGCATGGAAGTCGGAAGGTTAAATATTTCATTTATTTATGTTTATTAGTAATTTTCTAGTTAGCATAATTAATAGAGTGATCAACAGTCATTATTATGCCTTAGTATAGATAGATCTGTAGTGACATACTTTTATCAACAGAACGCGATTGGTTCAATGAAAACAATTATTATTATAACCAATTGTACCAGTGACTGTTTTACTGTGCTCGTTTGTTTAACTATGCTAATGACAGCCATTACACTCACTCTCCCGTTGACTTTGAACTTGTACGAATTCGGTTACGCTCAGTAACCACGCTTGTAATCCTTTGGCACGATCTCGGTATTCTTTCGATACCACGAGATCGCCAACAAATACATCTCGACTACAGCCATCATCTGTCTTCTGATATTGGCCTACGAAGATCTTATTGGTTAACTGGCACATAGTCTTTGTAGTGGTGTTCATAGTCAATAGCGACTCGACTCCACGCTACAGATCTATCGAATGACAGTGTGATATGCAGTCATTTATGATTAGACAATGTCGCTTGGATATTTCAATAGACAGCGAATCAACTTTCTTCTCGTTGTAAAGTAATTATTCCTAGCAGTTATAGAAGGAGAAGTAATCTTTTCTGTTCTTGTACAAGACTAGTTTATTTACAGTAAACAATAGTCACCCAATTACTGGCACGAGTTACTCTTTCCTTAATAATTTTTTGTCTCCAAACATTTTTCACAACTGTTATGACCTGGGAACATGTCGTTCGGTAAAAAACCATGTGCTTGCTCCTTCTTTTTATTGCAAGTTAAATTAGGCACACTTGTATAACTCTCTTTAACCAGGTGCTTTATACACACGAGTCGATTCCTCTTCAAAAAGGCACTTCTGGTCTAAATGAGAGTCTATTCTTAGGGTGACTTGATTGTATTTAATTAATTCTGCTTTATTTCATCTGATAAACTTTTCGTATACACCCGACTAGCACATACAGTTTATGGCAGTGATTTCTTGCAATAATCTCAGTAACGATTGATTAAATGGTACGATGCTACTACGAGTAATCTGGTGAATGCTAATATGTTTGGTCAACTGTGTCAATGCTAATGCCAATAATAATGGGGCATCCCAGTGACTTGCTGCGTTTGCATACACTAGACATTAATAAATTTTCCTGACTAAAACTACAAACTATATGTTTTAAAAGTCAAGCCATATTTCTACTGAAATACTTAAAAATTACAGTCACGGACTAGTGACCTGTGACAACCATAAGATGTCAAGTTTAATCAAAGAGGTTTCAGTACAACGAAATTTATCTGAAAGCTCAATACGAATGTCTATTTGGTGGGACAGTGAGATCCCAAGGAGATAAATGTTCGTAAAGTAAGATTTGATGGCTTTATTCAATAAATAATGCTGAAAAATAGAGGTAACTTACTTTCGAATAACATGCAAATTGCCAACACGGCTTTGACAAGGAAGCGAATCGAATAGTAAAACACATGGCCTATTCAGGGTTTTTCAAAATAATGGGATTTAGTAACAGTTACAAAGTGTATAGCATTTGAAATACAATAGACAACTGTGAACCGAAAATGTTTTGGTATAGAAACAAGAATATGAACTCCATGTAACTAACAATACCAGTTAAATAGAAAAATGAGTCGCTTAATTTTCACATAGTAGTTCTACTGAACAGATTGAGTCAGTCAGTAACAACGTAGAATTTTGTACGTATGTACGAGCCGCCATACCACATTAGCACAGAGATACAATTGTCGATTGAAATCCCAAAGTGGTAGAGGTAGTATGAGTACAGGCAGTATTCGGAAACATTAGGGTTTGAAGTTGTTGTTCAGAGTCAGTCAGTCAGCTGCAACGTAGGACCAGGCACGTATATGCATCGGTCCAAGTTGCCATACCGCATTAGCACAACAAGATGAACACCGGATTCATAGAAGTAGTTAAATCAGTGGTGGTAATATATAGAAGAAAGGGTGTGTATGAGGAGACAGTACAGGAAGATAGAACTAGTTCGTAGAAAGAAAGATTTGAAGTGATTTTAATCTCTTAGTTTAAAGGAAGACAGAGAGTGTATACACCGAGGCCATTGTGATCATTTCTGAGCCATGTCACCAAGAGTCTCCAAACATTGGTTACGATAGTCACGCGGAACCCAACCAGGCAGTCTGCATCTACCAACATGGCTCAGACTAGAAGTTAGTGACTTCAAGCACTGATGCCACGTTTTGGTTTGGCCGCCCCTAACTTCATTCCATCCGTCTCCAACACTAGTCAGCATGGCGCGTCGTGGCAATCGGAGTTCAAGCATACGTGGCCCAACCATCTCAGTCGATGAAGATTCACAACCTCATCAACTGATTTACCATCATTCCCTAATACCCTGCGTCTAACCTCACTATTACTTACCCGGTGATCCCAGAAGATACCCGCAATATTTCTAAGGCATCTGTGGTCAAATACTAGTAACTTACGAATATCTTCTACTCTTAAAGACCATGTTTCGCAGCCGTATAGTAGAACGGAACGAACTGTCGCAAAGTATACTCGTCCCTTAATTGATAGACGGATATCTCGCCTTCGCCATAGATGACGTAGGTTGGCAAAGTCCAAGCGACCTCTTCGAATCCGTGCTGAGATTTCGTCAGACACCAACCCATTAGGGCTGATCAGACTTCCAAGATAAGTGAAGTTGTCAACGCGTTCGACTACTTCACTCCCTATCCTTAGTTCGGGTGTTGACGCAGACCAGTCCTGAAGCAACGAATTGCATTTGGAGGGAGAAAAGCGCATCCCAAACATTCTGGCATTGTTGCTCAGTGCTACCAAAAGACTGCATTTTATCAGCGTCTTCACCAAACAGGACTATGTCATCTGCGTATTCTAAGTCAATAAGTGGACCTCCTGGTAGGAGATCAATACCTGAGAATTCAGTCAATGAGAGCGTTATTTCCATCAGTAGATCTATGATGAAGTTGAACAAAAATGGAGAAAGTGGACAGCCTTGGCGGACGCCACTTGAGGTTGCGAAAGCCGATGACAGTTCGCCATAGGCTCTGACCCGACTAGTAGTGTTCGAGTAAAGAGCCTTCACAAGGTTTATGTACTTCTGAGGTACGCCTTTCAATGACAGACACTGCCACAGAACCTCTCGGTCAACAGAGTCAAACGCTGCTTTTAAATCAAGGAAGACCACCATTGTCGGACGCCGATAAGTATGCCTGTATTCTAGAACCTGACGAATGGTGAATATGTGGTCGATGCAGCCACGACCAGGTCTGAAGCCAGCCTGATTTTCACGTGTTTGCAGCTCACGAGTGTTAGTTAGGCGTCCGAAAATCATCGAAGCTAGTATTTTAGATATTATATTAGTTAAACTAATCCCTCTGTGGTTGTCACAGGATGATTTTGACCCTTTCTTAAATATTGGGACGATAAGTGATTGTGATCAGTTAGATGGGATAACGTCTAACTTCCAGATTTTAGCTAAAATATTAGTCAACCTAATCGCTAAGACTAGACCACCATCCTTAAAGACCTCTGGGGCCAATCCATCTGGACCAGCTGCCCTTCCTCGTTTCAGATTAGCTATAGCCTTTTGAACTTCAGCTAGAGTTGGAGGACCTACTTCAATGTTCCATTCATACTGTCTGGGAATAGAGGGTAGTTGTAGAGTAGCAGAAGGCCAACTGAACTGCTCCTTAAAATGTCCCGCCCATCGTTCTAAACGTCTGGACTGGGAGCAGATGAGAGTGTCGTCTTTTTCCGAAATAGTCTGACTTACACTTGATTTATTAATTCCAGTTTCTTCTTTTAGTCTGTAGAGTTGTCTTGTGTTCCCTATAGCCGCTGCCCTTTCCATCTCTTTTGCTTTCGTTGCCCACCACTGCTCACGATCACTCCTTAGACTTTTGCTTAACCTAGATCTGATTTCTTTACGCTCTTCATCGTGTTCAGAACCTGATGGGATGAGTTTACGAGAATCTATCAGTGCAATAGACCTTGAAGAAATCCATTGGTTCTTTGTAACCCTGTGGTTTAAATCACTAGGAGATGCCACTGCTGTTTCCACAGCTGCTTGTATATCTTTCCAATCAACATCGGGGTCAGCCTCGTTTTCAGAACTACCTAAGTGTGACCTCAGTTGTTCCTGGAACCTACTTTTGGTTTTCTCATTACTCAATTCGGTTCTAATGAGTCTTTTTTGTGTGGCTTTTTTGCGTCCAGTGAGGCGCAAGCGGATGCGTGCTCGTACTAGGGCATGGTCGGAGTCCAAGCAGGTACTCCAGAATGAGCGACAATCTTCTGTCGACCCTCTCCAACGATGACTGATGGCAATATGGTCTATTTGAGTGCATCGTTGGTTTGGTGCAGGGGGTCGCCATATTAGACGATATCTCTCCTTTATGCTTGAAATTTGTGTTTGCTAAAAATAAACGATTGTCTGAGCAAAGTTGCAGCAGACGATCACCATTATCTGTTCTCTGTGCCGGAATACTAAAATACTCACCTAAATGTCTTTCTGTTTCGTTTAAGCTACCTACCTGGGCATTAAAGTCGCCTGCTACGAGTACTATATCTGAACGTTTAGCTTTCTGAGGAAGTTCAGACAGCTTTCTGTAAAATTCATCTTTCACTTCACCCGAACTGCAGTCAGTGGGAGCGTAGGCAGAAACGACGAAAAGGCAACGACGTGTGTCCCTATCCTTCCGAGTTCTTACGGAGCCGTTTAGCCGAACAGCGCATAGACGACTATTAACAGGGATCCACTCTAATAGCGCTTGTTCCGCCCTCATGCTAAGTGCTATGCCTACACCTGCCAGTCCACGAGAACTAGCCATCGGGTCGCCAGATACACGGAGAATGTATCTCGTCGGCACTCCGTTTAACCGAGGTGAGGTCAAGTGAATGACCACACTAGGATCCTGTATGCGTGTTTCGGAGACACAGCATACATCAATCGTACGAGATTCTAAGGTTTTAGCCAAGGAAGCCTGCTGACCGATTTGGCATAGTGTGCGTACGTTGAAGGCTCCAATGTGTAGTTTGGAGCGAGGTTTCAGTAGACCCGGGACACTGTTTTGCGCACTAGAATCGTTGGCTGTGGTGACACTTGAGCAGAAAGCCGAAAGAGGGAGTTTAGATTTGAAAGTCGATGTAAGAGGAATAATAAGAATTGAAGAGGTAGGTTGATTATGAATACAGTGGTCTTGAGTGCTGTTAGAGGTATGAGGGCGGTTATCACTTCCCGGATGCCCACACCGTGGAAGGGTTCTGCTGGAGGTACCTGAAAAGGAAATTGGATCAGAGGAGGTCATAGTGACCTGAGAGCGTGACCGCAGTGCCCAAGGGACAGCTGCTTGAGGTCGGTCACACACGACCTTTTTATGAGTGATTTTTGTGTTATCTCCGTACTTGTTGAGTCCTTACCGCCGGAGACGGATATCCGTGGGATAAGGCGAGGTGTGCATTTTTAGGGTCGACCTTTTCTAACCCCACCCCCCCCTTGTGGGAAGGCAGCATCGCTGTCATGCTGGTTGTCTGAAGGAAACACCTTACTGCTGTCACACCTCTGTACAGTCAGCAGTACGAGTTCGCCTTCGGACCTTGGTTTTGTTGCTTTTAGTCTTACCGCTCTTCAACCGACCTGTCTGGCATGGTAGGACCTTGAGGAACGGTTGTTCCAGCCAGTATAGCTCAGTTGCTTCATCACGATAGGCAAGCCCGTCCACCACGTCAAGGTAGCAACAACGGTCAGGTTGTTGTTCAAAGAGTATAATCCAATGGAATGAATTCGGAAAGAGAAGAATTCAGGAGAACACAATGAGTAGATGCGCCTGAGCCATTGCAAACGAATTTGATTCATGCCATTCAAGGTCTCTAACCACCGGTCGCTATCGTCTCGAGGACCCCAATCAGGTAGTCTACACCTACCAACATGAATCAGATCACTTGTCAGTGACTGTATGGATTTGTGCCATGTTTTGGTCTGGCCGCCCCTAAATTTCTTCCAACCTACTCCTACACCATAAAACATCGCACGTCGGGGCAGTCGGTGGTTGGGCAAACGTAATACATGTCCTAGCCATCTCAACTGATGAAGTTTCACTACTTCATCAATTGATTTGCCATCCTTACCTAGTACCTGTTTCCTAACAACTGAATTACTTGCTCGGTGGTCCCAGGATATATGAGCAATGTTTCGAAGACACTTGTGATTGAATACCAGTAACCTAAGAATATTCTCTACTTTTACCGGCCATGTTTCACTGCCATAAAGTAGGACGGAACAAACTGCTGCGCAGTAAACACGTCCTTTGGTTGATAGACGGAACAGATTGAGTAATAATTCTGCATATGTAAATTGAACTTATGTTCCAGTAGGTAGATTTAGGAACATTGTTTTCCCCTATAGAGTGACGAAAACAACTTACATTGCGTTAACACCACGTTGACGAAGCCAGGCTAAACGTCTTCGCCGCCACCGATCAAATGCTTCACCCTAGAATGGAAGAATAGGTCCTGTGTTGACAATCAATAATTGAAATAATAATTTATTTATGTAGTGAAAACTAACCGTGCATAGCCTATTCCCGAAAAAAGGTGGAAAACCGTTAGGTCTAAAGAGTGTGTTTACGTGAGGCTACTAGGTGGATAACAGTCGTGGTTGAAATTTGTGGGTTTCTGATATAATGGCGGAATAAGAATATTTTCAATTTCCATGATATACCACTATAATATGATAATAAGATCGGTGACTGAGACCATACCACCACTAGATTGGATACTCGATCGATACGCTACACACAAACTGGGATAACGTCATATTAGATACACGAATCAAAACTAAATATAAAGAACTGGAGTGTAGACGAGACAATAACAGGAGGGAAATCACACATTTAATGTTAAGTTGAGTATTTTCCAGCCCACACTCAGTGGACAGTCACATCTTGCTTTCCCTAGCTTACGTCAGTTCCCCAACACTCAAATCGTCATACAACAACAGTTTATTAGATACAAGGTAAGGACAACTACGCCGTAATGTTCCTCGAGGTTTGTCTCCAGAAAATACTAGATGACAAAATCTGAGAAATTATGAATGGGAATTCAAAGAGTAGGAAATATATATTCATGCCAGATAAAGTCGTAACATAATAAACGTTGAAACAGGGAAAGTACCAGAACCCAGGACGTGTTCAAACTAAATAAATGCACAACTGGGATTAAATAGTTAATTAAATCGGTTTATAGCTAAGTGGCTTGAGTCGTTATAGAAACCTAAACTACTTAAAAAATGACGTGCAAGTAACTGATGCGCGTTAGTTGTCGTTGGTTTTGACGAAGATTGGTGAACTGCTCGATATTCAGTGACCCGACTGCCGGATGATTTGGCTATGACTCAGTGACATTTCACTGGCACTACAGTATCTTCCGTACAAGAGTGAATTATTAAGATATTTTTGTCAGACAAGGTAAACGACACTGCTATCAGAAAAGGAAATTAATTATCTGGGAGATACAAAAATTAAGTAGTCATCAATTAATACTGATACTAACAACGAATAACTTATGGATGTACTGGCAAGTATGAATATATGAATTATGAAAACGTGCTTCAAGCTTAATTGACTGACTCTCTGTAATACGAAGATCTATGGAGATGGGGAACATTGTATAAGAGTGAGTTCTTGTAGAATCAGCTTAACTTGCAATGTAGATGAACACTGAACACTTCTCGGCTAACATATGGAGAAAACTCTACGTTGTTAAGAGGTTAACAAACAAGATATATTGCTCCAGCTACTACGATTCAGTGTTCAGATGTAAAATACTGTGTCTCATTAGAGAAGAGTGACTGCTATCATCAGGATAATTCTTTTCACTCGAAAATTACTAAGGCTCGGACATTTATTACCTATAACTATGATCATTAACACAGATAATGTAAATATACTAGCTTTTTATTGTGACACAAAGACTATCTTCGGAGGAGCTGCTGTTATCCTCAGGTCTTGAAGAAGAAAATGCTCCACATACACAAGGAGTTGCACTAATTTATCCAAATCTCTCCCACAGAAGGTCGATGTTAATGGTATCCGACCTACAGACATTGAGTATCTTATGTAGACAATTGTTTATAAATACTTGTACCTTTCTAATAATGGTTGTGGTAGTCCTCCGATTCTCAACCACGTACAGTAGAACTGTCTTAGAGTTCGTATTGAAGATCCTCACTTTGATGTTGGCCGACTGTTGTTTCAAGTTCTATATGTCCTTCAATTGTAGGAATGCAGCTCTCGCTTAGCTAGTCCTCGCCATTACATCTGCATCAGATCCTCCTTTTTCATCGATGATGCTATTCAGGTATGTGAATGTTTCCACATCTTTCAGAGCTTCTCCATCCAGTGTGATTGGGTTGGTGTTCTCCGTGTTGTATTTGAGGATCTCGCATTTTTCCTTGTGTATGTAGAGGTCTGTTGATCCGGATGCTTCTTCCACAGTGGTTGACTTGACCTGTATTTGTTGATGGGACAGAGTAAGCAGCCTCATCTATCACTGGTCTGCATTTGGAATGCATCTGTGAGCTGTCCTCCATGCAATATTTTGCATTGTATTCCGTCGTATCAACTCCGAATGATGTTGACGATCTTCCCAGGTACACCATAGTGTCGAACACGATTCCATGGGGTTAGCAATGAGGTTTGCAATGGCGCAGGTGAATTCTTCATGTCCTTCATTTTCTTTTCAAATCTATTCCACTGGACTATACTCCTCAAATAACATCATCAAACCCTAATGCTCCCTATCACTACTTATACTTTCACTACCTCTACCACTACGAATTTGAATCGATAACTGAATCTCTGTGCTAATTCGGTATGGCAACTCGAACTGATGTACGTACGTACGAAGTTCCACGTTGTTACTGACTGACTGACTGACGATGAGGTTAGCCTATCCGCATTGTCGAATGCTTTCTCATAGTCAGTGAAGTTGACAAACAGTGGTGGGCTCCATTCAATCGATTGCTCAACGATGATCCGTAATGTCGCAATTCGGTCAGTGCACGACCGATCCTTATGGAATCTCGCCTGTTGATCTCGAAGCTGGACGTCTACTGAATCCTTCATCCGGTTCAGTAACACCCTTTTGATAACTTTTCCTGCCACCGATAGTATTGTGGTGCACCTGTAGTTCTCATACTTTCTCAGACATCCATTCTTTGGTGCATTGGTGAGGTGTCCTTCTTTCCAGTCCGTCGGTGGCACTTGTTTTTCATCCCAAATCTTCCTGACCAAAACGTGGAGCATGTTTTCGGCTACTTCTATGTCTGATTTCGGTGCTTCGGCTGGTATATTATCAGGTCCTACTGCTTTCCCATTCTTGATTTATCTGCTCTTGAATCTCAGTGATTGGATTGCCTTCTTTCTTTCTGACTGACCTCTCAGGTTTATTATATTTCCCTGCCAGTTTCTTCGTTACGTCACATAGTTGTTTTGATATTTCTTTCTCTTGCAGCTTTTTCCGCTGTCGTTGCTAGTTGTTCCACGTATTTCTGCTTGTCGGCTCTAATGCTCCTCTTCACTTGCCTGTTTGCTTCTGTGTATCCGGCCTGTGCCATGACTTTCTCTGTTCTTGTTCGGCTGTTTTTAATTGTTGTCGTCTTGTTCTTCCTTTCTTGAATCTTGTCCAGGGTTCCCATAGAGATCCATTCCTTAGGATGATGCTTCTTGCGATACATCACCTCCTGGCACGTTGAAGTTAATACATTTTTGATCCCTTTTCAGTTGTCCTCCGTTGTAGTTTCTTCTTCCTTCAGTAGATCTTGTAAAGCTTGGAACCTGTTGTTGAGATTTATCTTGAATTCGTTGGTTTCTTTAGTATCTCGAAGGAAGGCTGTATTGAACCTTTTTAATGCTGTTCCCCCAGTTGTCCATTACTGCTTTAGCTTCAGCTTCATCTCGGTCACAACCAGATAGTAGTTATGCGGAGCTATGTCAACTCCTCTCCTGAATCTCACATCTTCCATTGACCTGAATTTTTCAGTGATACAGATATGATCGATTTGATTCGCTGTAGTGTGGTCAGGTGAGACCCATGTAGCTTTGTGTTGAATGCACATAAATTTGCAAATCTGTCACCATTCCTGTTCTTTTCTCCCTGTCAGTCCATGTCGTTCTATGATATATTCAAACTCAGTGTTGTTCATTCCAACCTTGGCATTTAGGTTTCAAATCATGATGGTGAGATCCTTTCTTGGGCACTTCGGTATGATTGATTTCAGCCGCCCATAGAACTGATGTTTACTGTCATTTTTGCTATCATTGGTGGGTGCATAACGTAACTCCGCCTGTAGCTCTTCTCGAGTTACTGCCGGTCCTAAGCCCGGGAAAAGTAGGGTTGGGCATGGGGTCGGTAACCCCATCCCGTAGAAAGACCTTGCTAAAAAACGCCAAGCATGTTAAACAAATAAAGCCATTAAAACTCTGCCCTAGGAGTTGAATGAAACATTATGACGCCTCATGATGAAAGCCGAGATTCTTCGTAAGTCACGAGACCGATGTCCTTTTTAAGAACCAGAGCAATAATTTTTGTAGGTACATCGAAAACTTGTCATGAATATATTTTAACAAAACAGATGCTAAGTTCTTAAATTTAAAAATGAATTATAAGTTTCGGGCCATTGTATAAATATTAGACTTTTCTGATGGATTACTTACTGGAGTGTCAGTAGGCAACCTTTGAATAACTTCTTCACCAATATCTAGGGAGTTTAAATCGTCGCCTGAGAAGTTGATGCGATCAACATCGGTAAATTTTTCGTTCAACTGGCAGAGATGATAAACTTCTTCACGATAAAGAGCCGTGTAACTGACCATTCCCGCCATCCATGGATAGCAGACAAGACCAAGAAACCAATGTGCACTGAAAGAGTTTTAACAATGACGACCAATCAATCTGAATATACAGAATGTCATGCGGTTTATAAAAGGTAAACAATCAGAATCAGTGGCTGTGGATTAATTTAAATACGAAAGAACAATAAACAATTGTGGTAGTGACTGAGTGAACAAATGTAACTAGAACTATATTTTTAGTATAACTTATCTACCAAGTTTAATTTAATGTACTTGGTTTCCGTCAGCATTTCTTGTGTAAGATTTCATGATACAACTCGCCTACACAAATCGAAGTAGAAGGAATATTCAAACTTTTAAATCAATAATTAAACGATCATCTGATTACTTATTTAAAAATAAACTGACAGTAGTAAATACCAGTATCAACATAAATGACTTTCAGAAAGACTAAACATCCAGTCTAGAAATTCAACAACGAAAACTGTATCGAACCTGTTTTAAGTTTAACCATTCAGAAGAAATACTGTGGTCATATTACTCGAGACTTTGTTGGACGAGTTGTGTTATGTCGTGGAACAAGCACTCAGTGATTAAAGAATACATTTTTAAAATCACACAGTTTTTTGTCTGTTTCGTCAACTTTGATTCGCGCAACTGCATATTATTCTCAACTCTCTTACCAAATAAATGAACACAAAATCCAAGTACATAAACCTGTACTCGATAAATGAGTTATATTATTCTAGACTATGATATATTTTAGTTTCTTTAAAAGCAACATGTTGTTTTACGGAATTATTATTCTGTGAGTTGTTACAATATTATATGTTGATAATTCCACAGAATGAAATTACATATCGTACTGAATAAACTTCTATTATTAGTCTCAATATATGTGGACAAATATTTTCTACGAAAAAGGTGTTCATCGGGGGGATTTTCCGTCGAAATGAACGAACCATTTTATGCGTCCAACCACATAAATCTGACTAATTTAAAAACAAGTTTTCTGGTTGTTTATCGTAACAATCCTACCAAGTTAATGGAAGTTGAATGACTGTTCAGTAATGTTTTTTAAGATAGAAGTAGAGTAGGTGAATGACCTTATCAACACATTTGTTAGAACTAACACTGAAATACGAGGTTCATGAGTGGCAATACCAAAGTTTTTCATGTAAGTGGTCCGTTTTTGGCGTGATAAGTACCGCGAACTGCAGTAGTCTTTGAGACCTAGACATTCTCGAATGGATTCTGAGTACGACTGTAAGTGTACACTACTGAGGATTGTAATACTATAAAAGTTTGACACCATATTAAAAAATTTGATAAATATTCAACGTTAAACCAAATAATCCTAAAAATTCAACTGGCCTAACATAAATCAATCCATGTTAAAAAAAATTAATTTTTCAGAGACCTACCATTCATTAATTGGAATAATAATATAATCTTTACTGAAAAGATCGACTCGACGTGTCCATTTCGCAACATTAGCATGCTGAGCAAAAATTGTTCTATGAAAAGAACATGAATTGGAAACGGAAGATTTGAATATTTTTTTGAAGGGGGTGGTAGTATTTTGAGAATGTTTTTGAATACTTGTCCGATTATGTTCAAATTTCGTTGAGAATTTGTCAATCATATAAACATAGAGAAAATCTTTCCAAATAACGCTTACTTGTGTCATGAAATTAGCCGAGATAAACGTAATTTGATGCAATGACATTATAGTTGAAATAATTTCGTAATGATCATTAAGAACTTTCGATGCGGATGAATAAATTACTGATTCAGTGAAAACAGCAAAATAGCAGAGATAATGCTGCACAGTTTCTCCTTAACAGAACAAACACCACATTATGATGTTATTAGTGAAATCGGGAGAAATAAGTTGACCAATTATTGTACTCAACTTTTCTGTTATTAATGATTGGTATTTTAGTCTTTATCTTATTGTTCCTTGATATTTCTATGAGAAGTTTTAAGAAACTTACATGCTTAAATGATATATATAGTCTGATAAGAAACAACAGGGGAATGTCATGAATGTATGGAAAATTATTTTGTCATACAGCCTACAATTCGTTAATAACAGTATGGAGATATTTCTATATCGTGAATCCTGTTTTAATGCGTTATGAGCTTCTCAGATATGCTAAACATCACCAATGGGATTTCTTGCTGTTATAGTTAATGCTGATATTTGTAAAATGACACGAGACAAAATCAGGGATGACCATTTACTAATTGAAAAAAACATGATCAATATGTTTTTTAATGTGATGGCTGGCAGCTGTATTCACTGAGTAATTAGAATTCGGTGAACTGGAATTTATAAAAATAAAACAGTTAACCTGGAACTCGTGGGGCAATAACAAATAAAAAGTCGATAGTTGGGACGTGTAACAATTGATGAGGTTGGGCCATGTCATGGAAATCCTACCACTAACCACTCATAAGAGTTATATGTTGGTTAACATAGAATTAGGTTAGAAGACTAAAGGCAGCCAAGTGAAGACATGGCATGAGTTCATGGAGTCATTGACAACCAGTCTGAGCTCGGTGAGTTAAGGCAAGTTTCACAAATGTTCCCAATCACAATAGTCGTAATCCGTGGTTTGGTGAGAAGGGTCAAAATTGATCCAATTGAAGCAGTCAAACTGATTATTTATATTCCTGTGAATGTTGAGCTCATTGTCATTCCGCACGGTTTATTCTTCGGTTTCACCCGTACTTTATAATATTTAACTCGTGTTTACATTTTCACCAGTTTTTGCGCTTCCCGTATTTTAACTTGTTCTCTCGCTATGATAATGTAAGACATGACAACCCGATTCCATACATAATTGTTATAGATCTCAAAGTTGCCAAAGACTGACTGAGAACAACAAAGTATGGTGGATTTAATGAGATGTTCACCCCAATAAAATTTGATTACAGGTTTTGCGATTAGAAAACCAGAGGAGAGGAAATTTTATTAGAAAATGAATATGATTTGTATAGATATAGTAAGATCTTAAGGCACTCACAATTTTAACCGGGCGACTCCTTAGGAGAAACAGTAGTTTTTCTGTTGAAACTTGTAAAACTATTGATTAAGTACTTCCATAACCACAATTAATTAGATCCCGAAATCAGTATATCACTTCATATCTGTTGTCAGTATTTAATCGATAAGCTTGAAATACTGATTTAGACTTCGTCTTGTTAATACGCAGTATTTTTAATGAATATTAGATCTGTTTATATTTTGTGCATAATCTTGTAACTATCTTCATCCCTCCATACAAGATCGTTATTCTGTTAAGATCCTGATTAGCAATAAACGACTTTGATTTCATTATAGACACAGTAACTTTCTATACTGATATAAATAAATAATCTCAAGTGTTTGGAGCAACTAAATTAGCCGGATACAGCCTGATATATACATTTTAAAATTAAGGTTTTTTATTTAATATAATAAAAAATTGAAAAGTATTTATTTATTTGAACATAAATTAGTACAAGGGGGAACCAAATGTATACGTGCCACACAATAACAATGAGGTTATGAAAGGGTAGGGAATGCAGGGTGAGTATAATAAAAGAAGACCAACAATTAACAGAAATTAGTGTATGAGAGTGAAATAATAATGGGAGATATAGTTCAGTCAACAAAAATACGACCAGAAAGAATTATTTCAGTTAAAGAAGTTACATTCACTTTCATGAAGAAGGTAAAAGGAGGTTACAACATGATCACTACTAGCTTCTATTCTGAGCCATATATGATGACGTATCAAGCCACTCTGTTGCACCATATCTAGAACCCCAACCAGGGAGTCGTGAACCACCGACAGGAGACAGTCCTTTAAAGCTTTCTTTCATACCACGACACCATGTCGTGCACTGACCACCTCTCCTCTTTTTCCAACTGGTCATTGAATCGGCAAATAATGCACGATGTGGAACTCACTGTGATGATATTCTTAAGACATGTCCAAGCCACCGAAGTCGATGTTTCAACATGGTGTTAGCAATTCTTCGGAGACAATAATGATCGATCACAGAGGGTGCTGTCAGTCTTGTACAAGTACTTTGCACTTGGAAGGTGTAAACCACATGCCATACCTACAGACATTAACTGCCAACTGATTGAGTGAGGACTGCATGGCTTGGATATCATCGCACGGTAAGACAATATCATTCACACACTCAAGGTCAAAGAGTCGTTTTCCAGATGACAGATCCACACCACTATTACGTACACCCATCAGAGCTGTTTCCAGAATCCCATCGATGGAGAAATTGACGAGGAATGGTGAGATTGTGTGAGCCTCCCTAACCTCATTGCTTGAATAGGACAATGGAGAAAGGTGGTTGTTTGTTCTCACTGTACCTGAAGTGTTCGTATATAGGGCTCTTAAAGTGTGAATAGACTTCTTAAACGAACTCTTCTTTAATGGACAATTTCAGAGAACAGTCCTGTCCAAATAAGTGAAGGGAACACTAATGTCAAGAAACATTATAATTTTTGGCCTGTAATAAGTAAGACAGTGTTCTAAACTTTGGAACAGAGTGAAGATCGGATCAATGCATCCTTGACGAGAACGAAAATCAGTCTGTCCCTCGAGAGTCAATATTTGCTGGGTTTTGAAGTATGGTATGACTCTATAAAGGTGTGTTACGGTTGCACTAAGAATTATTGGTATACATTGAAAATCAAAGCTTGAATATATGCAACGTGAAAATGTGAGTGTTGTATGTATTTCTGAAGTCGTAAAAGCAATATGAGCTTAGATGATGTGTCCGCTACTTGAATAGTTATCATATTTTTTATTGATGATACGGGCAGATGATGAGATATGGAAGAGAGCGTAAGATTGGTTATTGTATGGTATCCGATACAATTTATGACGATAAACAGTGTAATAAATACCTGTAAGTTCGAAGTGAGAAGTAAAACACGAAAACATATAACGTTAAAAACTTTAACGAAAACATATAATTTAGGAGGAAAGGAATGTAGATATAATACAAAAAATAACATTAATAAAAACATCAAAATTCGTTAGATTTGTACATACTCATCTGTGTTTTCTGAACTCCTTGGTAAATTACTTGAATTTGTAGAACCACGTACATCACTCGATATATAACCACCACTCGCCAACCGACTGTAGAAAAATACATTGAACAAATAAGTGGCTTGTTTTTGGAAACTTGTGAGCTTTTCGAAATACAAATATTTGAGATAGAAGTTAATTATAGCATCATTTAAAAGAGCTCCAGGTGCAAGACACTCAATATCATTATTGGTTATTGTTATACTGTCGGTAGACCCAGGAGGTTTGTAGTCGAACTTCCTATAATCAATAGAATAAGATTAAAATATACACACTCTTCATTTGACACGGAAATAAATGAAAAGTGCAACATTAATATACAATAGTGTACTGTGCATACAATTTGTATGTGTAGACGATTATTTATTTATTTAAACACAGAAATAGGAACAAGAAGGCACCAAATATATATGCGACACATAAATTATTCGATTTGTGTGAGGACCAGGACACTGCCCGTGTACCGAAACCGAAGCAGGTGGTTTGCTTAGGGGGCTACACCCAGAGCCTTTGACCCAAAGGTCTAAAACATAAGGCAGTTAAGAAATGTTAGGAAATGCAGTCCTATGGTAGCCGGTGACCAACAATGGTTCTATGAAGATCCTGGAGCCCAGGTGTACCAATGGTTTGGAATCAGGGTTTTCCAACTCCCCTAGGTGGGTCCTCCGTTTCCATTACCTGGTTAAAGCGTCGGACATTCGCCTTTCTTTCAGTTTCGTAGGGAACACCCCCGCTGCGAGAAGGCAGTGAATAGGACTTCCCTGTCAGTGGTTTTATGCACGTGGCCATGTGAGAGCATTTCGAGAGGGAGGGTTGAATCTCCCCACTCTCGGCTGTACCAGGGCATCCGGGGGCCGGAAGTTGGTTAAAAAACTAAATCATTTAATCGTAATAAAGTTTAGATAATAATCATTCTAAGATGATAATAATACAATTACACTAACCCCCTTGTCTATAATCATTTCGAATATAAAATGAATGATAATTACTGACCAACAGAAATCATTTTTATTCAGCTGTAAAAAGTTTGTTGTTATAGTTATTGTTGACAAAAACAGCCAATACAACTATGAGTGTTAATTTCACCAGACATTTTAGGGAACTTAAATCCCAAAAAAATAGAGTAGTGGCAGCTGGATTTATTGATCTAGGAAATTATACAAATCAAAATAAATACACACAGTAAGAAGGTAGTTGACGCCCACAATTTTCGGCATATTAAAACTTAGAGAGAGGAAAGAAACGCGAGTTTACCAATGATTGTGCAATAATTAAAAAGCAAATGGAGGCTTGTACAGACGTAAAGATATGGAAGCATTAATACATTTGTCAGTGAATTCAGTGTTAGAAAATCTACAGTAATGTGCGTCTATGTAGGTTTTTAATGACTTCTAATATTTATCAATCTATCGGTTGACTTGATGTTACATGATGATAACGTAGAACTTTAAGAAACTTAGCAAGTGACAAAACACGTAAAATGTTATTATAATCATATACTTTAAGACTTACAAGGAATCGTCATCAGGATTCGTAGATGATTCAGTTTGAGGATTACCACTGTTAGTCAGAGCAGATGACCTCGCATTCTGAACCCATTCGCCAGTATTTTCTTCAGAGAGAATGATTAAATCGTCACATTCTTGATTACACTTCATAAAAAATTAAGAAAAAAGCATTGTAAGGATATAGGCTCACTGTCAAGTGTTGAATAAATTAAATTTAGATTGTGAGGCATTAGAGTTGAGTAATACAAGATACAATGGTGATCAGAGAAACCCAATTAATTTAATCGAGCTTTTTCCTGAGAATTGAAATGTTTTCATATGGAAAAATTATGTCTCGTATTGAAAGCCAAGTCACAGGAAGACAAGAAGCTGAAGCCCCTCAAGACCGGTGGAACAACAATTTATATAGAAACATGACATCTCCAGGCAGTGTGAGAGACCGAGAGGACCATTTGAATAGTCAGAGGTGATACGATACAACAGCACTCGATTGCGTGGATAAAATAATCTTGTGGAATTTATTTGACACTAAACCACCTGAGATTTTCACCATCACACGGAACTCCTACAACTGACTGAATTGCAAATCCATGGTTGAGGGCCATCTTATAGATACACTCCAAGTGGAAACTTGTGTCAAGACAAGGCTGCTTACTCACACAGATTCCCTTTCTACTAGCTGTTGACTGGATTATCAACGCCTCCACATCTCACAAAAAGCACGGAATTCATTATACATGTTGGACACAGCTCAGTGATTTGAACTTTGTAGATTACTCAGTACTGCCATCCCATACACAGCAAAAAAATGCAGACAAAGATAGCTAATGTATCAGCAGGCGCCTCTACAGCAGTATGTCTCAACATTTACGACGGAAAAGGCAAGACCCTTAAATATAACACAGAGAGCACCAGCCGAATCGCGCTTGACGGAGAAGCTTCGGAACAGGTGGGCGCCATTACGTACCTAGTGAGTATCATTTAAAAACAAGAGGGATCTAATGAAGTTGTGAAGACACGTATTGGCAAAGCAAGGGTCAATATCCCTACAACCGAAGATCACCTGGAACTAAAAACAACCCTCACCTGAGACCAAATTCATAATCTTCAATATGAACGTCAAGACTTCTAATGCACTGAGCCGAAACTTGAACTACTACAACCATAATTGAGAAGGTACAGGTATTCATAAACTGCTGTCTACGCACGACCCATTGACCGGAGACCATCAGCAATAACCTACTGCGACAGGTAACAAATCAGCTTCCAACTGTAGAGAGGATTAGGAAAAGACTCTGGCGGAGGATAGAGCGCATATTAGGGAAATTATCAAACTGCGTCACAAGGCGAGCCGTAACTCGGAAGTAATAATAGGCAGATCAAAGAACACAAGGTGCAGCTAACTGGAGGAATACCTTAAGATAATGAGCAGCAGTTGGCAACTGGAAAGGAGGACACGATAGTTTGTTGACACTATGTGGGAGGCCTATGCCTCAAGAGGAATAGCGAGCCTAAATAAAATCTGCACTACATGACAACTGCAAAAAGAGCATTGTTTTTATTTTTCAAACTGATAAGAGAAAATCATACCAAAAAAGTTCATCAATTTAATACTCGTTTGGTTCCATAACTTATCGAAAAATTGACAGTCATTTGGGGATTTAATTTCTACATGCTTTTATGGGCAAGAACCAAATTTTCTTTAAAACCATTCGTCCTACTCAATCCACAGTCACTTAAGATATCAAGGACTTCGTCATTTCTCTACTTGACTAGCAAACGTTTGTTTTATTAAATGGTTGCATAATAATTACAATCTATTCTCATTGAAAAGACAATTTCCCTATAGAAATTGGTCATGTAATGACGTAAACATGGCAATGTATTTCTTTCAAATTTAAGGATGATAAACGTGAATTAATATTTTGCAATTAATGGATATGTCAATACAGACTTCTAGTGTGTTGACACGTTTCTTGGGGTCAGAAGTGAAAGGATATTTCACCGATAAAATTCTATTACTTACAATTAGTAAGTAGTTAATATAACAAATACTTTAAAAGTATGACGTTGGCATATAGAATCAAGTGCAAACCACTAGTTGTTTTTGCTAACAGAATGTATATTTAAATACTTTTACCGTAAATTCTACCAGTTCAATTGATCTACCTAAGTTACCGGGTGGAAAGTGCATGATATCAATAGGATCAGTTTATTAGGTGATAAAAAACTGACCAATATCAAATATACCAAAATTATTTCGGCTAGTTTAGTGTTCCAGTGTCCTAAGTCAACCTACCATCTTGTATAAATCCAATCGATGAAGCAGAAGACTAGATCTATTGAGCTAAAAATCCACTTTATTTCCAACATGGGAAGCTGTGAAGGATTTCTATACATTATACAAAAGGTTGATTGGAGCCACTAAATTTTTTAAATTCGATTAATAAACTGAATTATTGGCAATTCAATCTCGCTGAAAACACGCCATACCAAGTGTTTTCATATCACAGGATTTGCTACTGAAAAAGTACTTAATCATGATTAAAACAACGAGTTACAGGCGTTTTTGTAGAAGAAACTAGTTTACAATACTGATAATTTTAAGATTAATGAAAAATACAAAGAAAACGAAAATCCAACTGGTCATTCGGAAATAGTATTAACTAAGTCCTTAGTAGGATCCCAGACATAGAAATTCGATGCACAACACACTAACCAGAAAGTTTAATGTTTTCTGAAAGTGGTAGCAACGACTATGCACAATTACGATTTTTAGAAATTCAATGAATAGGAGGACGAAAGACTTAAATTGAAGACAATTTTATGTGCGGGCTGGCAGTAGCCATTGATAATCAGCAAGCAACATGCAGCTGTTCCATTTTTATTTGAGATTCATAAGTATCTTCATAATGTAGAACATAACCCGTATGTCAATGATTAAAATACAGTTGTAACATCGATCTTGCATAAACTACTCAACCAACAACATATCCACCATTGCAAGTAACATAATGCAAGATAAATGTAACAAGATTCTGAGTGAATAACCTAAAGTTTGTGGTCAATGAAGTATGAAGTGAAAACAGATGCCGAAAAAAGAGGATGAACAATATCCACACCACAAAAAATTAGAACAAGTTTATACTACTATTGGATTTACGATATGTGAAACTCTTTTAACTTACTTCACCCATTGTCAGTTTTCCTTGGACAGTATTTTCGCTTTCCTGAGGAAGTGAGCTTGACTTATTTGTCAGTTGGATACCGGAATGAGTAAGAGTATTTATCACATTAGTCAGCAGACCTCCCTCATTTGTGTGTTTGTCAACTTGGGATGAACTAGATTCCAGATTTGAAATGGGATTCCTGTCAGACTTGGTTTGAGCTTGATCGACTTGGTTAGAAATCTGAGACTCGCGAAAAGTTGAATTAGTCCTTTTAGCTTCAGCACGTGGTAGACGAAGGCCACAACTAGAAAGAATTTCCCTAGCTTTTTCTGCACTACAATATATATCACAAGACCCGTTTTCACGAACTCGATTAGCTAAACCTTCAAGATCATCTACTGTTACATACAACAAATCACCAGCAGATGGTTCCCGGAATACCAAAATTAACCATTTGACGCTTGCTTTAAAATGAATAAATGGGAAGGGTTTGTGAAACCATATGATCAAAACACTTTCAAACAGATTACCTCCCTAAATAAAGATGTTTACTAAATAATCTAATAAACTTAGTTTTGTGTGGACGAAATAACGAGTAGAAACTATGTATTTAGAAAACTAAAGATTTTATTAAAATTAAAGGAGAACGGTTATTACCGAACAGCTTTATCGTCTTGTCAACAAAGACTAAGTCATTGCTCATTACAACGAATTTTGATGAACTAACCAGTGCTAAAGTACCCTATTTATTGGTCAGAAAGAAGTTAAATTTTTAATTTTCAGACTTTTGTCAACAGTAATGAATACTAACGGGTAGTGAGGACATAATTTGGTTGTGTTGCATGTGATTTCGAAGATTCTTAAAAACATAACAGCTTAAAAATGGGTGTTTCAAATGTGTTTACCTAGGGATTACCCTGTTTATATATTAATCATCTGTTTGAACAAAAACATTGGTACAAAGGAGCATCAAAATACATATGCACCACATAAGGTAATTGTTGTGAAATTTATGTGGTTTGGGATACTGTCCAGGTCCCCAATCCAAAGCAGATGATTTTCTTAGCTGATCTCAGGCCTTTAGCCCAGAGGTCTAGTCCACAAGGCGGTGAATCAACGTTAGGAGATGCGGTCCTCTGGTAGCCGGTGGTCAAGAATAGGCTCAAACGTCATTTGTCCTCTCAGTATTGTGGAACCCATACGGACCACTGGTTTGGGATTACGGTCTTCCAGTTCCTCTAGGTAGATCATCCGTGCTCACTAACCCGGTTCGAGTGCCGATGTTCGCTTTTCGTCCTCTCAATTTCACAAACACCCCCACCACGAGAAGGTAGTGAGTAGGACTTCCCTGGTAGTGGCTATATACGCGTGGCCATATGGGAGCATTTCGGGAGAGAGTGGACTCTGCCTACGCCAGACCGGTACCAGGGTATTTGGGGCAGCTAAGTTATCGTAGCAGTATAATCGATCTGATCTACAATGAGAACTTGTAATTCTTCAGGCTATGTAACTAACCAATATCGTAGAAGATCAATTACAAATCTATTTACAAATAATCGAAATATTTAACAGCGGATATCCTTCTTGTATTAGATCATTCTATGAGCGCTATGGTTTATATCTGTTGTAGGAGTAGCTGAGATATTGAGTTTATGATCAGTCAGAGAATTGGGATCAACTGAGGAAGAAATGAATGAATTAACTACTGCAAGTTCATTGCTGATATCAACAATAACGAGGATGACGATTTATGAATGTATGTACACTGGTCGATCATATAGTAGGGCGTGATTAAAAAATTGTGACTATGAAACTATACTCAGAGTTCCGGACGGATGAAGCGAATAATTGTAACGATGATCAAATCAGTATACTATCCCTTTTTGAGACTATTACACAGGACCTATTTCCCAATAGAGCTGGGCGAGCTCTAGGAGAATACTGAATAGGAACACAGGACATATCCCTACAAGCTGGTAAGAACACAGTTTCATGTATCTTTAATGTTGCAACCGATATCCTATAAGTAGCTTTGAAGGAAGTATGTGGAACGGGTATGGTTATTACCTAAAAAAACACTATTGTGCTAACCGGATAGCCCCTTGTGGGTCAGTGAAAAGCGCTCACATGTACAATATGTATTGGGTATGGTCAGAGTGCAAAGAGCTACAAGAGTGACAAGGGCTTTCGCTTGCATCGAACAATCATTTGCCCTGAATAGATCACATGCAGTAGTAGCCACACAAGGTAAACAGTAATGGGGTAGGGAATGTCTTATTATATTCATGGCGATTTAATCTATTGCTATTACAAGTTTTATGCTGCTTGATTCAACGTTAAGCGTGTTATTCTACTGGATCTCATGGTGTCTATGGATTTAGTAATCCGGTCAGTTTATGACATAACGTCGACAATAATGTTTATATATGAGCTATTAGCTCATCACGGCAGTTGGTTGATCATATCTGTTTAGTTACTTGGACTACTAACCCATGATCACACTTTACTGTTCGATGAAGCTAATTCAGTATTATAAAATTGGGTTGCGCAACGAATGAGTGCTTCCCAGTAAATTATATGGTAACTGTTAAAACTCACGCAAGATGAATTCCTTGATTTTAAGAAGTTCAGAAAGCTGTGTCTTGAAAGAAATAGATGGCTTGACGAAAATCACTTGAAGGGTTTCGCAGAAAACAAGCATTTCCATATTATTGTATTGAATGGTGACACCAGTCCACACGCCTGGGAAATAGAATACGTAAAAGGCTTACCTTCTACTTTAACTTTGCATGAAATAGAAGATGAACTGATGCAACAATCTTCAGCACGGCCATCAAAAATTCCTGACCTTCCGATACTGAATATGTTAAGAGGGACAAGGTGAGTGTTGTTGGCCATCCTTGATCTTTTCACCGATGGTGTGCCATTGGATGATGGTATGACAGGTTCTGTTTTAGCGGAAAACTTCAGAGAGGTATCAGAGAAATCAATAACTTTGTTGCACATAGTACACCTGAAGTCAGTGGGACAAGCGAAGCCGTGACAGTTCGGTTGAGGACACTTCCAAAATCTTTTATTTTTTTCTTCATGAACAGTTCTATGAAAATAAATTTTTAAGACATGCAAAAACATACGGTGATTTCCCACCCAGCGCATCTCTTATCTCTCGTAGCATCATAATCTGAAGGCCAATGAAACGCGCCTTCTAGGTCAAATTCAAGTTTTATAGAACAAATTCAATGCCGAATGAACAGCTTGAAAAGTCGTTTCTCAATCTGTCAAGTTTTACACAACTTGTTTTACCCATTGTACAATTCCCCGAAACCAGGAGCTAGCAATACCTGGGATGTCTCTGTTTCGCAACGACAGAAAAACAAGAATTGGGGGTGGAGTAGCCCTATACATACGATCTGGCTTGGAGGTACACCAGGTTCACAATCGTGAGTTTTACAATCTTAGGGAATCCATATGGTGCTCTGTGAGCTTGTCCACTACTTCGAGGTGCCTAGTCGGAGTCATATGTAGGAAGCCCACTGCCGACATCGAGTATGACAGTCGTATGCTGGAATGACTATCCCGCTATACGCGTCTTGTTTTCACTGACATCCTGATTCTAGGGCATTTCAATCTCCCTAGAGTCAACTTCGCGGAACAAACGTATATGACACACACCAATTACATTCATCAGCGAAGTAAACGAAGATACAGTGAAGTTTAAAAGAGTGGATACGTTGTTTTTAAATCAACGCTTTCTATTTTTTATAGGTGAAATTTGAAGTTATTGAATACTTCACGCTACTATTTAGTCAGTTATTTAGGAACTGCAGATGATAGTAATCACAATCACATGTAATTGCCATCGCGATGATTAGAGAAGTTTCTGTTCGACAGGCAAGGCATTCGTTTGGACAGTAACGGGATGCTCCATACATTTGGAGATAGTAATTCCATCAAAGTCTGTAACGGAAAGAACACCCAGGCACCCAAGGCATTTTATTAAGCAGTATTGTTATTTGTTTGTTCTTTTTCCTTATCACGTTTTCTAACCTTTATTCAATTGCCTTTAACTACACTTAACGTTCTCTAGTTATCCTTGTCTGGGAACATACTATTTGACCTTGGTTAAATATTCAACTCATCACTTGGTCTTACTGTTACATGTTTTCTGACCGATCTAATTTAGACCTAATGGAGCCAAGTCGACTAGAACTTGCAATATGAACACTCGTGCTGTCGTCACATTCCTCAAAAATGATATCAAGCAAAGCACAAACTATTCTAGGAACCTAACTTCCTAAAAGCTTTTTACACTAATTGGATGTTAATTACCATTTTTATTGAATGGACAATCGCATACCTGAATGTGCAGATATACCTGAAAGGGATTGCCTAGTTTAGACTGAATATCAATACAAACTCCCTATGCAAAAACGAGTTGCAGTACGTCACTGTAAGGGCCACAGAAGAACAATAACACAGCTAGCAACTCAGCATCTCTATACTGTTAATACCACGTGTCTAGACTTATCATATGATCTGTAAATATTTATAAATGTTTTTATAAAAAACATGATTCCGAACACAATTTCTTTATTTAGATGTCATCATCTGCTCTTTGGATTATAACTGTAAGTCTCAGAATATAGGATAACAAATGTTTAATAACTAAGGATGCCACAAGTATTCGGAGTTTGACAACAAAGGGTCGTGGATTGGAGCTTACTGAGAGCGGTTTGGTTCCATTGTGTTGACTCTATGGTACTTGAGAGTTGTAGTTGGTAACCACTCTTATCCGTACTGTACCTCTCTATTCACCAGTGGAACAGTTAAGTGTATCACTGTTGATTCATTTCAAATTTTGACATTCGTTACTGTAATATAGTGCGGCAAGAATGTAGCACCGAAGTCGTGGTTTGATACAACTATTCACTATGTGTGATTCGAATAGTCTTCGTACCCTATGAAGATGAACACAGTGATTAAATTCAGTCAAATTGATCATAGTTTTAATTTCATCATATTCTGTGTTCAGGGCGAAATATTTGAATGGTACTCATTAAAACTGGTTTTAAATGTACACATCATAAAATCGACTGAACTAAATATATGTTTATAGCTTGGTAAACTGCCCTTCAGATCAGAAGCAATTATGAACCAGACTGTTAATCTTTTACAAATTAGAATTGATCTACTGATCGTTACTACCGAAAGACTCAATAAAAGCTTTTTGAGCAATTCAGCCAAGAGTGTAGGTCCAAAACCGTAGAAATCAATTATTCTAAGGCTTGGGTTGAAAATTCCTCTGAAAATGCTTTTACGTATTTGGCTAATAGCATAATTGGAAATGTTTTATAACGTTTCTATGTTACAGCATAGAGTTAATAGGTAGAATAACTTCAGTGCAAGTTTCCTGTCTGTTTGTTTGTATTTGTGGTGACATTTGACGACAATTTGGCATAAGGTCTCGTAACTAATTGGCAACGACCCTGTGACATCGCGACAATTTATTTTGCCACCTTTTTATTTCAACTTTGTGCACTGTCAAAAGTTAGAATTTATTCATAATAGGTTTGCGAAGCTACCTTTTGATTCCAAAACTTAGCTGATTGGGATTTCCTACGTTGCAGTACATGACGTTCCAAAGTCCTTGAAAATTCAGTATTCCTGTGCTGCTATAACAGTTTTTACACAATCGCATCATAGGCAGGTATTAATTATTACCCAGTTGTACACTCAAATCAGAATAATGGTTTAGTTTTATATGAAATAACGTGAATAAAGCACATATCGTCATTAAAACTGAATTATTGTCAAAGGAATTGTAATTACGCAAAAATTAACGATGCCATTATAAGGTATTGTGTTTTCGTCTTCTTTCCTGCAATTTCATCCGATTGTTGCTGTTTTATTCTTCTTTTATGCTAGGACTAGATTAATAAAAATATATTAGCTTCAATTAGGGTTGTAATGGTTGTGTGTCTGCTTCAAGCTATAATAACTACTGCTGGTCTGTAAAATTTATCTTGTATGGTTAGATAAATAAGCCACCAAATTGTCATATTCTAGGGATCAAATCAGATTCATATATGAGAGGTACACTTATGTGAGGATTTTACCAGGGACTAAGCAAAAATCTCAGTATTACTTCTTCTATGAAATTTCAGTTTTTAGGTTGTCAATTTTCTTGAAAAGATAAACAGTAGTAGAAATAAGTACTACTATAAAGCGTTTCAGAAAAGTCATTGAAAAGTATGATTTTTAACTAAGATTACTGATCACATTGACATTGACGCTTGAAAGAAATGAAATTTGGCTGACTAATACAGACAGGTCGCAGTTGTTTAAAATAACCTGAATTAAGGTACCTGCTTTATCATTGGCATTTGCGAGATTTAGACTTAGGAAACACGACTTCTTAATACGAGGGGTCACACAATATAGATCAGTCACAGAAAAAAAAGCTGTGCACTTTAAAGTACTTTTTTCAGTTTCACATATGTGTTCACTGTACAACGTAACTAACCGTTTATTTACCTTTTAGGAGACTGCGATTTTCTGAAGTTGGTTCTCTTTATTAGTCAAGTGAAAACAAGTGTATGCTCGAACAAAACGTGACTAGATATTCAGCATCTGCACTCAATATGAAGTTTATGTTCATATTGTTGTAAATAATTATCAATACAATGTAATACATTTTCATGTATTTCAGTGTTTTTTGCGTGAATAGGGGATGAAATGGTCAGAAATGGGACATTTTCTGAAAATGCACATAAACATAATACATACATGTTTTAGAGCGTATAAGTCATGAAGAGCTTGCGATCACTTACTCATACTTATCTTTCGTTTAATAAATAGTGTACTTACGCCTACTACCCTCGATGGAGCTTAGGTCGCCGACTAGCATTCTCCAATTTACTCTGTCCTTAGTCTTCCTTTCTATTTCTATCCAACTGTTATTCATCCCTTTTATGTCTGTTTCCGTTTCTCAGAGTAATGTTTACTTGGTCTTCCTCTTCTCATTTGGCCTTGAGAATCCCAATTGAGGGTTTTTCTTGTGACACAGTTGGGTGCTTTCCTAAATGTTTGTCCAATCCACTTCCAGAACTTCTTCTTGACTTCTTCCTCCGCTGGAATCTAGTTTCTTCTCTCCCACATTAGCTTACTGCTGATGGTGTGTGGCCGACTGATCCGAAATGTTTTGCGTAGACAACCGTTAATAAACAATCATATCTTCTGGATGATAGCTTTCGTAGTTCTCCAAGTTTCCGTCTCATACGGTAGAACTGTCTTGACATTTGTATTGAAAATTCTGACCTTGGTGCTGGTTGACTGTTGTTTTGATTTCCAGATGTTCTTCAGTTGTAAATATGCTGCTCTTGCTTTGTCGATCCTCAACTTCACATCTGCATCAGATCCACCGTGCTCATCAATGATGCTGGCCGGATGTGTAAAAGTTTTTATATCTTCCAAAGCTTCTCTGTCAAGCGTTATTCGATTGGTGCATGTTGTGTTGTATCGGAGAAGCTTGCTTTTCCCTTTGTTTATGCTGAGACCTACTGCTGCTACACTGGTCAAGTTTTACATTTGTTGTTGCATGTGTGATAGAAGAACCAAATCATTTGTAAAATCTAGACCGTCCAGCTACATCCTAGATGTCCACTGTATACCGTGCTTTCCCCCAGATGTTGACGTCTTCATAATCCAGTCGATCACCAGGAGAAAGAGAAAAGGCAAGAGTAAGCAACCTTGCCTGACACCGGTCTTTACTTCGAACGAGTCTGTGAGCTGTCCTCTATGCACGATTTTACAGTTTAACCCATCATAGGAATTCATATGATATTGACTATCTTCTGAGGCACGCCGTAGTGTCGAAGAAGCCTCCATTGTGTTGTCCTGCCTAAGCTATCAAATGCTTTCCTGTAGTCACTGAAGTTGGTGTAGAGTCATGTATTCCGTTCGATTGGTTGTTTCACAAAGATCCGTAGTGTTGCGGTTTGGTTGGTACACGATTGATCCTTACGGAATCCTGCCTGTTGGTTTCGAAGTTGGTCGTCTATGGAGTGGGTTGTTCTGTTTAACAACACCCTGTTGAAGACTATTCCTGGTATCGAGAGAAGTGTGATGCCTCTGTAGTTCTCACACTCACTAAGATCGCCTTTCCTTGGTATCTTGATCAAGTGTCCTTCTTTT